TTCCAAGCAGCTTTCATTCGAGGGACTCTTCTTGGAGTAAAGGAATTTACCACTGATTCTACCATGTGGAACGCTATCTTGATGGCAGTGAGATAATCTCGCAAGGAACCTGCTTCATCTTGTGCAAGGAGAAAGAATATTACGTAAACTCGGTGTATGCAGACTAACACAATCATAGCCATTTGAAGACCACGATCTTTTCATTCTAACGACCATGATCAATCTTGGATTTCATATAGCGCATGAGAAACAAACTGCAGGCTACAATTTGCACCATCGATTCAACAAAGTGTTTAGGACTCGTAAATGCATCGTATAGAGAGCATGTTAGAAGAGCCGAGCACAAAAGCAAGTGCAACCTGAATTGACCTCATCTTCACTGTGATATATCACCCCCAATTCGTAATTTTAAAAGGTTAGGCCCAAAGCCCAGCGTACCTACTGACGTGGTTTAGTACATGACCCTACTTATATCTTGAAGGGAAACTTTGGACCAACAAAGACATCTAAGACCCAAAAAGAAAACCCTAATTTTGATGATTTTATTTTTAGTACTTGACCTATATCAAAAAAAAAATTTGAGTTGATCTTTCGAATTAAAAGACGAACTCTATATTTTAAATAATGAACGTGACAAAAAGCTTGCATTACACGCCTAGTGGATTTCGTGTTCCGATCGAGAGATGATGGGATGGATGGGATCCATAGCAAAGCGGAAATCATGTCAAAAGTCATGTTTTTTTGTGAGAACCGGTGTTCAGTCTCGAACTTTCACTATTTTCTCATATGTGATTGGCTCCATTAAATTAAACATATATAATAACTTGATTGTAAGGAACATTTTTCCTTCCAACATTAGATCGGTAGGTCTCCCTCAAGTAATTTTAAACGGTAACTTATCGACACAATTTTACTCGGTTTTACTTCACAAGGAGAAGTAAGCCTCGGTGTCCTTGAAGTTTCATTTCTTATGAACGAGGGAGCATTTGTTAAGCAAGCAATTAAGAAATATTCACAATTTCCAATGCACCGACTTTTAATCGCACCATCCTTTTTAAGTATATTTAATCAGATACTTGTTCACACTACCTTGATAATACAGCTGTGTCTTCTTCTACAAGAAGTTGGATAGGCCTGTGCAAAGTGAGGGCCGTTCATAAACAGGCTGTTGGGCCCATTTCCTCATTCACTCTCTCTTTTCTCATTTTGTTATAGCCGTGCAATATTTGTAGCATGGCCTTTGAAGCTCGAAGCTTGACATTTGTATGCATTCATCACTTTGTCCTTCAAATTTATTTGAGCCACTTTTACTCTTTGGACATGCTCCAGTTTGGTGTGAAAACTCTAAACGTGTTATAACTAAGCGACTCGATTCCATCTTATCAAAAAATAGACAGGTTTAACTAAGGCTCTGTTCGTTTGGCGGAAAATATTGTGTTTTTGGAAAATGTTTTCCCGGAAATCATTTTCCTAGAAAATGTTTTTCCGGAACACAATTTTCCGGTGTTCGGTTGAAATATGAAAAAGTTTCGGAAAATATTTTCCGGCGTTCGGCAACGATCGTCGCCGGCTGTGTTCTTTTTCCTTCTTCTTCTCCGGCAGGTCGCCGGCCACGGCCACGGCCGACGTCCGGCGACCGGCCAGAGGCGAGCTCGAGCGTTGCCACAGGCCGGCGAGGCCCCAGCTCGCTCGGCCGGCAACCTCGGGTGAGGCTCGACCTCGCCCAGGTCGCCGGATCTGGCGAGGCCTGAGCTTGCCAGCCGTGCGAGCTGGGGCCTCGCCGAACGTCGGCGAACCTCGCCCAGGTCGCCGGACGTCGGCGAACCTCGCCCAGGTCGCCGGACGTCGGCGAACCTCGCCCGAGGTCATCGGCGAGGCTCTGGCGAGGCCGAGCTCGCCGGTCGCCGGCCGCCGACTGGCTGTGGTAGAAGAAGCAGAAGCAACAAAAAAAAAAAGGGAAGAAGTCTTCAGTCTTCCGGAAAATGACTTCCGCTTCTCAGAAGCGGAAGTCATTTTCCTCAAAACAATGAAGGATTTGGAGGTGGGGAAGGAAAATGTTTTCCCACAGAAAACATTTTCCGCCCCCGAACACCGGAAAATGTTTTCCGGAAAAATATTTTTCCAGAAACGAACACAGCCTAAGCCTCCTTTTGTTTCGCGGAAAATAAATGATTTGTAAAGTATTTTCCTAGAATCGATCAATTGAATCGCTTGAAATAATTAGTCAATGGATAATGTTTTCATTATCATCGACAATATACGTCTAAACATTTTTGTGGACAATGAAAATATTTTTTGTTTATTCGTTTTCGTAAGCAATACAATCAATCGTTTTAGAAAAATGTTTTCCAGATCATTTATTTTCTGTGAAACAAACGTGCCTAAAGTTCTACGATCAATGATCCAAAAATAAAATCTTTCTACAAAAATAAAAACACACAAAATTAACTAAATCCAATTAAGAAAGCATGAAACACAAAAGCCTGAAACTAGATGGAACTCCACTTACCACATGTTAGACACCGCCATAAAATTCTGAAAAGCTTTTAGACACCGCCATAAAATTCTGAAAAGCTTTTGAAAGGATGGAAGATGACGATCCATCTTTTGTGGGTGAGCTTAACAATGATCTTCCTAAAGATGATGATTGGAAAAATGTCATTGTTCTTTCGGAATTTCTAAAAAAATTCTATGATGCCACCAATCGGATGTCGGAAAGTTCATATGTTACTTCAAATGATTACTTTGATGGGATAGCTCTTTTGTATAAATATCTGAAAGATGTGGCGGCGGATGCTTCGGATCCTAAACTTCAAACTATGGGTAGGAAAAGGAAAGGAAAATTTGACAAATATTATGGGAGTTTGGACAAAGTGAATATGATGGTGTTGATTGCGGTTGTGTTAGATCCTAGAGCCAAGTTGAATTATGTGAATTTCTTATATGGACAAATTTATGATGATGAATCGAAAGTTAATGAGATGCATTATAAGGTGAAGGATGCGTTGGAGCGTTTTGTATGAATTTTATGAGCAATCTTCTCTTGCTTCAAGTGATCGAAATTTTGGTGTCCAAGGTTTGAGTGCAAGTAGTAGTGGTTCTAATACCGATGTCGGTGGTAACGAAGTTAAGAAGAAGTATGACCCCCAAGCTTCTCGGAGAACCTTTATGCACTAGAATCAAACAGAGTGCGATGACAACAAATCTGAGCTTGATCGGTATCTTCAAGATAAAAATAAAAATATTCTTGATCTTGACCTTTTGATGTGGTTGAAGACTAGCGGCTCAAAATATAAGATACTATCTTTGATGACTCGAGATGTTTTGTCTATTCCCGTAACTACTGTTGCTTCATAGTCGACTTTTAGTACATCGGGTCGTGTGCTTGATGGCTTTCGAAGTTCTTGGACACCCAAAGTAGTGGAAGCTTTGATTTGTACTCAAGATTGGTTGAGAGCCATTCGTGTGTCGATTAATGTTGAAGAGTGCATAGAGAATGCTGAAAAATTTGAGTTGGGTAAGTGATGTTTTTATCTTTATATATTGTAATTCCTTTTATATATCTAATAAGTGACTATTTAATTTAGTTTCTTTTTTTTATATATGGATTGTCTTAATGAGGAGATTATCGTCGGTAAATAGAGTTTACCAGATGAAGAATGAATATATGTGGTGAGGCTTTCTAATACTTATTTTATTTTACCAGTAAATTAGATATGGATTGTCTTAATACTTTGATTTTCTTTGTTCTTATTTTTGTCCATTGTTGAAGGAGCAGCTAAGGTCGTGTTATGTGTGATTCTGCCAATGGTTTGTGCGTGCCTTTGACCTCATGGTTGTTTAAAGGAGGAAGAAATTTAATGGAGAATATGCCAAAGTGACTATGGCATATAAGGATCTTTCTAGGTCTATTCTATACATATTGTCAGTATTTCCATGTGACTGAGTTTCTGCTAACATGTTGGAGCTGGTCATTTTTGTGCATCATTCCTGTACGAACTGTACCCGACTTGCAAGATAGATGAGTTTAAGAGGAAGCGAGACTTAGGTTATCAATATAATGCAGAAGTACATATTTGGATTCAATGGATTTTCAACAGAGAAATGAGTAATAGGCGTTTGGCAAGGTGAAGAGAAGTCAACTTAGCTACCAAATGATCTGCTACTAATCATGATGGATCATGGTTTGAAAACATGGAACAACTAGGACACTGTGCTTATGATAAGGTTTATTTTGTGTGTGATTTACGGTTCATACAATATCATTGACTTCAAGAGGGAAATTTTTGAAGAATGACTGATTTAAATTTTCAAGCTTGTACTTCACCGGTCTTTATGGGTAATAGAGAAAGGTTGGAAGAAGCACACAGATGCGATGTTTATATATTCTAATATCTCCCTCACAGCCATGGATGACCAGTTGCTGGCAGTTTTGTGATTGTAGTTTCCAAGAAGTCGAGAACTCCAAATTTTTTAGAACCTTATGCTAGTCTTCCTATTTTGTTTGGCTGATAGAAAATTCTCCGTGCAGCATGAATTTACCGTAACGGTCAAGTTTCAAATACCTAATAATATTGGAACAAGGATCGTGCATGGACAAAAAGTTCACTCTGAATGTTATATAATCGAGTGTGTCATTAGTAATTATAGGGAAAATTGCTCCTTGGCATCTATTTTCTGAAATGATCAGGGATGGTGCTCTTATGGTCATGTTGGGTCATTTTTAGCATGGTTTACTTCATTTGCATTATTTTCAGTCATGTGAGTCATTATACATGTGTTTTTATCACTTGTGAATGTGAATGCTCTCTTATGTATTGTCCCCAAGCTGATTGTTCAGTTGACTGTGCTCTGTTTGCTATCTATTCGTGATATATCCTACCTTAGTGTTTCTTATCTGCCTGTAAAATGTCGGAGCGCACACGCTGTTTCATGTTTTCAAAAGTTAGGTCATGGTTAAAAGTGCATGCAATCTTGAAACCATGATTGATCAGAATTTTGTGAATCACTAAATCATGTGCATTTCCACCTTTTGATAATATTTCCAGCTTCCGCTGGCTGTGGGAACCAAGCTGGAGCATGTTATTACACAATTGGCTCATGAAGTTGCTGAAAAGCATAGCGCAATAGAAGGGGAACTGGTTGTTCAACCGTCAGACGAACACTTTGGTTTCAACGCCCCCGAATAGTCCTCTACTTGATCCATTTTATACTTTTCCAAAATGCTTTTGAGATTGCATTCTTCTTCTGGATCTGGGTAATCCGTTTTGGGGGTATTGTTTCCGAAGCCAATGGCGGCGGAGCAGGAATTTAGCTAGCAAGTTAACAGGATCTCATGGTTCCTTGTGTCTGCAGGTTCAATATGGCTTTGACTCCTGCATAATGGGACAAGTCTGTTGCATTGTTCAGAGGCTTATTATTGGGTATAACCCATGATCCAATTTGATTTCTATATCTTCAAATAGTTGCATGATATTAGCAGAACAAAATGTTCATCCGCTTTCTCACTTTTGCATGGGCGTATTCAGTGTGTTCATTCAGGTACTCTGCAGTTACAGCACTCTGCCCCTATATGCCATAGTTGCTTAAATTTCTCCATTAAATTTCTTCCTCCAGTAAATTTCTTCAATTTCAGCACTCTGCCCCTATATTCAGTGTGGATCATGGTCAATTTCATGCTCTATACGTTCTTGCTGGTGTCACCACTGCAAATATTGTTTGTGGTTCTGTTGATTGCCATAAGCTGGCATTCCCAGGAACTTAATCCACAGTGACCTGTCTTGTGGTGATGCATCTTCATAGAATGGTTAGGTGGCTGACACTTCCATGGTACTGCTATTGGCTTGATCTTCGGTGTGGGCAACACCACACCATTATCATGTTATTATTGTTAACATTCCGTGTCCTGTTTGACCCAATTATCAACGCTCAGCTTCCGTGTTTCTCCTCTTTCTACCTTGCTTTTGTTGCCAGTGGTTCTCTTGGAGGTTTGATTGCCACTACACAACTAATTCCTTTTAGTATTGCAGGTGGTGGAGGAGCTTGGAAGAGCAACTTGCTTTGATGACTAGAAACAAAAAGTTTTCTACTTTGGAGGAGCTTGGAGGGGAGCATGTTATGTACTTTTTGTGGAGAAAAATGTGGCATCTTGCCTTGGAATTAAAGTCATGTGTTGCATCCCAACAATTACTATTTGTACGTTCTATCCCTTTTCTATTAAGCGAAATGTTGCTTTCCAATAACTAGTCATTGTTGCGTTTATTTTCGTTTTGTTCAACTAAAATGAAATAAAAAAAAAATAACTTGTTAGAACCTGGAACCGACCCTAGAACCTGTGACAGGATAGGTTCCAGATTCCACGTTCCGACGAGCGAGTTCCAGATTCCAAAAATTGAGAAACCAGTACTCAATGGTAGATTCTAGGGTCCAAGTGGAACCTGTGAGAAACCTGAAACCGCTCACCCCTACACCTGAGGCACGGTGTTGACTTATATTTTGGATGGCTGTGGTTCACAAGTACACGTATTAACACTTCATCGAATCGTCTTTATACTTGATAGGGATGATAAGACTTCAAGACATCCACAACCGACGTTGGCCTAGCCAGGAGAGCCTTGTAAATCTGGGAGCCTGACCCGGCGAGGCGTGCCTCTAGATCATTCGCAGGATAGGGTGCCATCCTTTGCATCCCATCCTTCGTGGGAGACGCGTGCCGTCTGATCTGGTTGAGCAGCTCGCCAGCACTTCCTTGACCGTCTCTAGTAACGGCTTATGCACGGAGCATCAAAAGAGTTCTCAAGTTGACCACATCCCTCTTGTGCCTGCCTTGCTTCTTGCCCCAGGCCTTCCCTCCATTCGGTGCTTTTGGTTGGCCAATCTGCATCATGTTCCGTAGAGCTTCACGAAGCTGCACTTCGCTTCCTTTACGATTGAGCAACACGATATCGAACATCTCCAACCTCACAGTTGATTCGGTGTAAACCAATGAATGCTTGCTCACCCTTCCATCTTCTAAGTTCACATCCTCCTGCAAAGAATTTTTCTTTCCTCTGTATCCTCCAAGGTCGGCAAACATGTTCTCGCTGTTCTCTAGTATTGAAACCAAACTTGTAGCCTGTTCTGTTGGTTCGATAAAGAAATATTCACCCCTCTCCGGATCAACTAGAATTTCATTTCCAAAAGCGCGCAACTCTGTCGCTTCCTCACATTACAGACTCACTTCCAATAAGTTCAGGCAAAGCAATGGCGCTAATTAGAGCTTCAGGACGTCCAGCGGTAGTGATGTCAACATTGACACCATCCCAAACATTCACCGGGATGGATTTTTATGAGAAGGCTGAAGATTGGCTCTGAGGATCCCAGGTGCGGTACTAGCTACAGATCATATTGTTTTTCCCCCATCTGGTGCATTGTATTTCCTGTAAATCTTCTGAGCTCAGAAGATCATATCTTAGATTCCGTCTTGAGCAGCTCTTCTTCGTATTTAAAAGTACCCGTATACTAATTTATATTGTGTACATTTGCTCTTGGCATTTTAGAAACTCTCTTATATCATCTTATGAGGAAGCTATTCTGTCTGTCATGCAAATCAATAATTGATTTGAACTGCGAACTGTGAGTATTGGATGGCACGGAGCTTCTTGAAATACGGAAGGGGGAAAATTACGAGAAGTAAAGAAGGAGAAAAAAGAAAAAGAACCGAACATGTAGCAGAGATTCTGGAAAGATATGCTAGTTCAACATGACACTACGCAATTCAATAATGATGTTTAATAGTAGCATTGCACGATTCATGTTGATGCTTTTTCCATCTAACAGTCCCAAGTCTGGGATTTTCCGCCATTATGCAATTTCTCTAGACCAAGTGTGACTTGTCTGCCTCTGACTTGCTTGGGGTGTTGAACTAAACGATGTGTGTGTAAACTAGATCGAACATCGATTGACAATAAGGCTCAAGACCAAAAGTTGCTCTGCATGGGGAAGAATTTGAGCAGGTTTGCTTTTCACAGGAGCTGCTTGAAAGCATGTATCAAAACTTCAAAAATGAATGAATAGAAAATAAGCAGAGTGTTTGGACCTCAGGACAGCCAACTCAAGGCAGAGATATCTCTGTAAACGACTCTGAGCTCATGAAAATCTTCTCCGCATACCAAAAGAGGAGCAATGGACCCAGATTGGATCTCAAAACAAACCACACCAGTGATGATTGTAGCAGGATTTTCAGAAAAAACCACGCTAGTGATGATTGTAGCAAGATTTTCCTCCATTGCAGACAACTTAATAGCTTCTCAGTTCACATGATTCCAAAACAAACCACAACAATAGTGATAATTGTAGCTTGATTTTCCTTGATTGTGGACACAACCTAAAAGCATCCCAGATCAAGTAATCTTTGTTTTAGCAAAAAAAAAGATCACGTAATCTTTGACCATGAAGATAATGAAAAACCACGGCAATATGCCTCGCGTTAAGAGTGACTCCTAGGCCATTGCTGGTGTAGAATCCAATATTTCTTTCATGTCCCGCTAAACTTGCAATCATTGTCAACATACTGCATAGAAACGTTTTGGTCATCTATTTTCATCAGACAATACAGTTCCCTCCAACTTGCGCAAAGATGCAGGGAAGCTAAGAGATTCAATTTCAAAACCACCGATTGTGAACCTTACCTTGCATATCTGGAAATGCCTTCTGACACTAAGATAGAAACAGTAAGAGCCCAAACAGACAAGCAGGACGTGAAAATCTTTTCTTATCTACTTCCGACGGGCAATTTATACATTCATCTCCAGGTCGATAGCGCATAGATAATCCTGCCCTTCCAGCCCTGCAATAGCCACTGCCCATCTTCTTCAATCTCAAAATCTTTATGGTAGTAAGATTTCAACCTGTCCTTTGCCAAGCTCACCAGATCCTTATCCAAGGGTAGCTGCCTAAAGCCAGCCCTCAGGTTTCGCACGTGTGACATTTTGTATGTCTCGGGCCTCTCAATCCTCTCCAAACCTTCGCAGGCAATGACATTCATCACATGCCTCCCAAGTATCTCTCGCTCGAGCCGCAACCTCTCTGGGGTGTCACGAGGTATGGTCGCCTCGAACATGTCAAAGATAGCTGAAAAATGGAAGAGTGCCTCCCGGAACCGCGAAACAAAAAAGGGGACACCATGGCCGCCATTTATGATTCCCTCAATGAAAACATCGGGATTCATCTTTTTTATCAGATTCAGTACAACATCTCGTGGACTCTCCGCCAGCACCGTGTCATCGAGTATGTTATGTAATCTATTTATGCAGATCACGACAAGGATTTCATCGCTGTGGATATTTAGCCCCTCAACTTTAATGGCATCCCAATTTTTCGCTATAGCATTAAACTCGAATGGGACATTGAAAGTTTTGGCATAGCTCGCCAAGCGTCTTCCGGTTTCCTCAACGATTTCCTCTGGTTTAAATCCTGGTTGTGGCAGATCAATCCCAGTAATCCGAAGCTTAGGTGGTCCACCGGGGCTTGATGAGAGACGCTCTATAAGGCCAGGCCACCGGAAACCATAGAGGATTCCAAAATCAATGATGTGCAACTTGGGTGCCTCCCTGGCCATGTTCAATATCGTCTTGTTCGAGAAGAAATTGGAGAGCTTCCTAAATGGACATGCTGCGAGAAACAGATGATAAGCCTTCAAGACATCGACAACCGATGTAGGCCTAGCCATGAGAGCCTTGTATATCTGAGAGCCTGACCCGGCGAGGCGTGCCTCAAGACCATTCGCAAAATAGTGTGCCATCCTTTGCATCCCGTCCCCTGTGGGAGACGCGTGCCTTCTGATCTGCTTGAGCAGCTCGCCTGCGCTTCCTCGATCGCCCACAGTAACGGCTTGTGCACAAAGTGTCAAAGGAGTTCTCAAGTCGACCACATCCCTCTTGCGCCTGCCTTGCTTCTTGCTGCGGGCCTTCCACTCGTTCAGTGCTTTCAGTTTGCCATTCTGCATCATGTTCCGTAGAGCTTCGCGAAGGGTAGCTTCGCTTCCTTTACGATTGAGCAACACTATATCGAACAGCTCCGACCTCACAGTTGATTCGGTGTAAACTGATAAATGCTTGCTCACCCTTTCTTCTTCCAAGTTCACATCCTCCTGAAAAGGATTTTTCTTTCCCCTGTATCCTCCAAGGTCCGCAAACGTGTTCTCATAGTTCTCTAGATTTGCAACCAAACTTGTAGGCTCTTCAGTTTGTTCGTTAAAGGAAAATTCACCCCTCTCCCGATCAACTAGAATTTCATTTCCAAAAGCGAACAACTCTCTCGCTTCTTCACCATTGCCCTTGAACTGCAAAACAGACTCACTTCCAATTAGTTCAGGCAAAGAAGAGGCAGTCACTGGAGATTCAGCACGTCCAGCGGTAGTGATACCATCATAGACACCACCCAATGACTGGCCAGTTGATGCTGAGACGGATTGAGACACCGTGGTGAGGACAGTATGCTCTCGTGATTCACAATTCGGCTCTGACTCAACCAAGTTAATCGCACTAGCGCTACTATTACACGAGCTCTCATTGGTTTGATTGGGTAACGGATGCTGATCTGCAGCTGGTGG